ATTAACTTTTTTTTCCAAAGCATAAAGCAATATTTCTATTTGGATAAAATCAAATATCTTAGAATTGACAGATCATAAGATTACAAATTTTTCTTAAAACCAACGGTATAGACCCTCAAACAGTATTTCTTTCTGTTGTTTTTTATTCATAAATATTGTCATAAATTTCTCTTTGGTTATTAAGAAAAAAAAAGCTAGTCAATTTGATTCACACAGAAAGCAAATATTCAAACATTTTTCTTGTTATTGCTGTGAATGTCTTACTTTGCCTATGTATACATTGCGTTTGTCAAAAACTAATAATGATGTGATATAATAGTTTGATACAGCTCGATTATTTTTTCTCTTCATACACCTCTATTCGATACGTATCATCAATGAAAAAAGAGCCAAAATGACACTATAAAAAAAACAAGATTCACATTGTCGATACTTGAATGTATATAGTAAAAACAAGGTTAACCTTTACAATACGGGTCGTACACTATGAGTACTAAAGTTTTTTTTGAACAGTGAAATATATTATATATTGATGATCGAAAATAGTTGTGTATCCGATGAAGTATGCTCACTGCAATAGTATATACTTATTGTTATTTGCTTGATTATGACTTATTTTGCTCCTTTTTTTTATCCTACACTGAAAATTTCTTGTCTAATTTTTTTATGAAAAGTACCAAATATGCAAATATTTAATTTATTCAATAGGAATAATCGAATTTAAAACAGAATAAAATTACTAAATAGATAGTATTCAAATTAAAATTATTTATCAAAGAATATTACTTTGTAAATTCAATACGCTTATACAATCCTAATGATCATATGGATACTCGTCATCTTTCACTTATTTGTGTAGTAGTATGTCATGCTTTAAAGTCAAATTTCTAATTTTTTTCTCTATGTGTTGTGCATGAATAGTTGAAGAAGAAAAGACCATGTTCGTTTATCGTAAATTTTGTGTTCAGGTGTTCCTTATTGACTGTTCAATTCTTATGCAATATATACAAGGTGAAAAAGAAAAAAAAAATATGATCATTCAATATATCATGATGATAAAATCAATCAGTGAATCGTAGCTTATTTTGAAGAGAAAAATAATTAGACAACGTCTCATTTTACTTTTACCTATGTCATTGGTTACGCATAATGTGCAATTAACTTCACTTTCGCTTCTGTTTAAACCATTTTATTTCATAGTATGATTGCTGCGTGTTGAAAATATTAAACGTAAAAGAATGTTTTATCAACAAGCTAGAACATAAGGATTTAACTTTCTTTGCTATTGTCAGACTCGCTTATCTTGATTATGGTTCTCTGCTTTTTTCATAGATGTTGGCAGAATGTGTTCTCAGGCAATCTATGAACATTCTTTGTCTTTTTTTAAGCTTCTGCTTAGCGAGTTGGTGCCTCGAATGCATGTCGATTTTCGTCTCGTTTCTACTGCGCAATATGATACAGATAGAAAACTAATCATTTTACAAATACAAAGAGAAAAGAGAAAAACAACTGGCAACATTGACTGGACGGACCAGCATGCACATCTTTCGAAAACTCGATGTGGACGAGAATATATTTGTTAGAACTCATCATTTTGATAGTAAAATTAGACATTTTTTTTCTTACTAAACAACAGAGTTGTCGAACATATTCGCGTAGAGAATAGACGAAGCATGAGTAGATTACAAGAGTGATGAATCTTCCAGAGCAAGATTGTCGATATTTTTCAGTGTTTGGGGCAGAGGGAGCCACTAAAAATTAGACAAAAAGTCCAAAAATTCACTCAAAAATTCTTTCATCCATGGAGTGCCGGAATAGGTAAACAGAAGAAGAGGGAAATCTTCCGTGTGTCTGCTTCTCCTATAACTGATGACCTGCCACCAGATTGTTCTCTCCCAGAGCTTATTTCAGTCTTATTCATCGTGCAACAAAATTGTCTGCTTATTTTTTATTTCATTTGGTGTTCAAAATGTTACCATGTAGATATAAAAAATCGCGAGAAACCGATATTAGAGATCATGCAGGCCATTCAAGATGTTTCGAACTTATTGAGACTACTAGAAAATCATGTCGAAATATTTCAAGTAGCTATTTTAAGAAGAATGGCAATGTTATCAATAGGTGTAGTTGTTTTTTCTATTTGTGAAGAACAAAGGAATTTTATATAGTAAATAATAGAACTTTTTCTAGTAAAAATATTTGATAAGAGATCCATAATCAATTGATATGAACTGATTTTATAATTAAAGATAGAATAAATAGATCTAATTTTGAGAAGAAAAGTTTTTGTGGTAAACTTTTGACATATTTAGTGTTTGACATTCTATTAGACTAGATTTGAGTTTCTCGACTAGAATGAATATTTGTCTGTCGATTATTTACAAAATAACTGATAGACGCCATGTAACTAGCGTAACAAAAATATAACAAACCGAATTTATTTACTCTTTAGCTACTGAAACTTAATATTCACAAAAGCACTTTTTTTGTGTACTCAAAAAGTGAGTACACTATAGAATCGATTAGTGTGTCCGACCGTTTACACAATAAATTTCGAAGGGAAAGTTCGATCGTGATGAAATTTCCTACACAGTTTCGTCTCATCAATATCTCGGTCGACTTCGAAGATGAGAATGGTTCGTCGAGCCATTGCTGAATTATCGAGAAAAGAGTCATTATTTCCTATGCGAACATTGACCTATCCCGCTTTTCTTAAAAAACTTTTCCTCTCATAATCAAACAAAACTCCAACTATTATATACCATTCGATAGAGAATTTCACGAGCTACAAAATGGTATATAAAACATTAAGAAACAAGAAGGCTAAGTCACCTATTGCAAAGATACTTAAACGGAAATTGCTTCTGTGTTTTTACTTTTTGAAGTACATATAATACTCGGATTTAAATCCGAGGTTTCCGTATTTATTTTTCTTTCGAATTTCATCGACAATTTACAATATTTATAGGACTGTTTGAAAGACTTTCTAGCAATAGTTTGTATGTAGAGTTTCAATTATAATTTACATATAAAATTGAAATACTAATTTAGATACACACATGCTTGCATAAAATACATCGAAACACCTTGTCCGTAGACGGTCAATATTTTAGTGTAACTATTTTATTGATCTGTTTTCATGCTAAATGGCAATGATTCATATGAAAAAAAAAATATGGAATATACGAATTTCACGCAGAAATTACTTTTATATAAATTGAAAAGTAAAAAGCAAACAAGCATATGTATATAGGAAGAGAAAAGTGAAAAATTACTTCCTTTATTACTCAGAGAAAAATATTCTTAAGAAATTCACAATTATTTTTGATTACTAATGTACAAATCTAATTTTTTGTACAAACTCTCCACTTTCTGCAGGATATTCTTGTTCGAAAATTATGAAAAATTCAGATAGCTCTTTGTTCAAGTCTTGAACAGAGTACTGATTTTTGATGTATCTGATTAAAAACAATTAACAAATACTAAGAGATTACAATTGATTAACATGTAATAGTTTTATTTCATCTTACCGTTTACAAATTAGTACAACATTATTTAAAAAAAACGATTAAAACTAGGCCGAAATCAATTACATGAGGACTTTCATCATGACTATTGTGAAGCAAAATCGAAGTTTCAATTAGTTATAATTTTAATTTTATTGAATAATAATTAAATTATCAGTTCCGATTATACCCATGGTATTTTGAAATTTAAATCAATAAAACTTTCTACTGGATACTAATAGTTCTGCAAGGAATGTTAGTTCAACCTATCACATATCGTGCAGTCTATAGGTTAACTACGCTTCTTCTGCTTGATTTTTTAAAAATATCTCGTTCTATAAATATTTTCAAAACTCTTAGAAAAATGTTAAATTTAAGTGGAAATAACACTTCCTTGAAAGTGCAAGCGCATTCATGCCACCTGTACCAGCGATGTCGACTGTTTTTGTTTACTCCTCGAATAGGAGTATTTATGAAAGACTGTGCCACAAACAAAAAAAACAGTCTTTAATTAGAAGGCTTAACCAACAGGAAAAAGTGTGGTGCCATCTGACAAAATATACTACGCGTATTAAAATCGACTTTTTAAAGTAACTACCAGTCTCTTCAAGATCGAAACTATTGATTTAATATCAAAATTATTAAAAAAAAGAAATGAGTAATCCGTCAATTTCGATGAAATATTGACAATATGAGAAGTGTTGAAGTATCTGGATCTTCCACTTCTAATGAGAGAGCTAGAACACTAGCTTCGCTCTTATTTTAGAAGTCGCGGCAGGTGGCATCTTCACCACGGGTGTCGTCTTATCAAGAATACATCGTGTCCATTGAATAGCAGCACTCCTCAATACTTTTTCCAAAACAAAAGAAGAACTAGTGCTCTAATTTTGCCATTAACTACTCAATTTGTCATTTGTATCCTAGATAATACAACATATGCAGCAAGGGCACCATTCTCTACGACTTCCAAATCAAGAAGTTTCTTAGTATTCTTCCTTTAGTATTAGCCGCTACAGACCGTTTAACCATGACCGTTCGTTATAATATATAAACTACTTATCCGCCGAATTTCTGCAGGATTAAGTAAAAGGATGGTAAAGAACTGTATCTCAAAGCAGATAGAATAAAACAGTCTCCCTGTGATTAACAATAACAGCTGCATCGTGTTTCACATTTTAATCTTGCAGAGATTGTGTTGACAACTTCTTTTATTAATTAACTTAAAATGATTTCAACCAAGATCGAACCAAAGCATACAATTTCGACGTATGTCTTATCGAATACATATCTATGCCTCCTATTAGAAATCATTTATTTTCTTTATAAAATTCTTATCATATCTGTATCTTCTATTGTTGTTCATAGATCTAGTTACTACATTGAGAATGAAATACATATTTCATTTTTACTAACACATGATTTAAAGAAAAAAAAAAAAACAGAAAATTATATTCATATCTGACTTCAGGAAAAAAACTATATCACAAAGATAATCTAATTATCAAGAAATAAACTTTTTAAATGTAATCGTTCAAGATGTGTTAATGATGAATTATTAAATAAGTGTCGTACTAATTCAATATAATCATCATCAAATGGAAGGTAACCATTAATTTTAAATATATCAGCTGCTTTTTGTAAACGTTCACCGAGTGTTCTATTTACAATAGTTTGTTTTTTTGATGCAATTTGTTCATCTTCTTCTTCTTCTTGATTATCAATACGTTCTTCATCTTTGTTTGTTAATGATAAACGACGTTTTTGTGGTGACATTTGTTCATCACGATTTGCTAAAGCTATTTGACGTCTTGTACGTATAAAATCAATTTGATTTGTTGATGCTGGTGCGATATCATCATCAATATCATTATTATCATTTAAATATAGTCGTTCATAATCAAGACTATCGATTAATGTATCAACATCATACATTGGATGATGTGGATCAGTAATATTTGTTGTTGTTGTTGATGGTGGTGGTAATGATGATGCTTCTTTTGTAAATGTACCATCACTGATAGCTAAACGAAACGAGAAAAAAAACGATTATGAAATAGAACTTCTTTTTTTTTTGTGTGTGAGATTAGTTTGTTTTACCAATTGATTCTTCAGATGTACTTGCAATTGGTGTAAGAGATTCCCCATTTGTACCTATAATTGGTGATAATGATGGAGAATTTATAAGACGTTCTTGATATAATAAAAGTGCTTTTTGAATATTAGCTAATTTTGGTGGTGGTATTGGATAAACTTCAATTTGTGCAGCTGTTGATCGTGCTATATCACCAACAGTATTCATTTTGATTGAATGAAAATAATTAATTGCATTTGTAGGACTAAAACAAAGAAGAAAACAAAAAGCAAGAAATAGAAAACATTTTTATTTATTAGTTAAAATGAAAATAAGATATATACCATACACCACCATATACTACATGAATTAGAGAATCTAATGGTTTATCACAATCAATTAATGCTGGATAGATTGGTTCAACAGGTTTTATTTGACGTAGTTCTTCAATTTTATTTGCCTTCGGAGATAACTAAAGACAAAATGATAACAATTTATATTGTATATAATTACATTGAAAATGTATTATTCATTGTTTGATTGAGTTCAATTTCTTATTAATGTCATTTTTCCATTCTGAGATATTGGAATTCATACAAAAATAGGAAAATTCAGAAAAATGAGCTAATTTAGTTTCTATAATGATCACATGAACTTATCTGAACTCAACTAGATATAATTCCGATTCAGATCATTCAAATTTCATGACTATAGTGTGTTATTTAAAACTGTAAAATCAATGTTTTGTTTTTCTAAAATACGAAGCATTTACCTCAAAGCCATATCGTAGTTTGAATAACCAATAAGATTCTCTATTGAATGCATTCCATAGCTGGGCTATTAGAGAAAGGTTTCTGAACAAAGACAGAGTTTGTCGTATTTTCAGAGACCATTTATTAAACACGTATAAGCCTCGTAAAAAAAGCACCTATTTTTTTACGATGTCATGATAAATGTCGTTTTTTTTCTCCATTTTGTAAATGCATATGGCCTTGAAACGTGACAATCTCTAATTTTATTCTGAATTTTGTACTCTTTAAGATGACACTCTTTAAAAACTAATTTCGCGTAGTCTTCTAGGAACTACAAACTATAGTGCTTGACTTTTTTAGAAAATTTTCTTTCATAGTTCATGTATAGAATATATTTGATAGAGAACTTCATTGACTATTTATACTTTATTGAAGAATAAGTTCACACGTCCAAAGTTTCTTGTGTTTCCGTTGAAATACATGTATGTATTCATTCGGACTTCAAAACTATTCTTTGGAAGAAAAAAATCTGAATAAAAAATCAACACTATTATCTTGAGTATAGTTTGGAATACAACAAATCCAAAGTCTTGGGATTTTATATTCTATAGTTTGGATTCAATAAGATAAGCTATCATCAATCACATGTTAGTTTACTAGAGATCTAGCACATCCAGGAAGAGATTGTCGGATATTGAAGTAAAGGTTTGTTATTTTAGTTTAGATTTTTCTTGTACAAATTCGAATTGCAACTTGAAACTTTCCACAGAAACAGACCTTAACAAGAATAGTTTTAGATCTTTTGAATTACTTCTATCTTAAAATAAGAACATTAGATCTGTCAGTTGATATCAGCGATGTAAAAGACACGCTATAACTATTGTTGTATTTTAGGATAGGAATACGGACAATGTTTGAAACATTCACAAAAAACCTGGATTTGTTTTCACATCCAAATTTCAAGTCGTCAGGTTCAAAAATTTTGAACTCCATGAGCTCTAATCCCAGTATCCATTTAAAATCTGCCGTAAAAATATATTGTCTTCTCAATAATAAGTCTAGGACGCGAACTCTTTTCATTGTATTCATAGCTCATTTGGATCTACATAACACACATAGTCATGATTCGAAATCAATTTATCAGTAGGATGACTTTCTTCGTTAGTCTTCAAGAATTTTTCTTATCTTATATTCAAATTTTAGGAAAAGATTAAAAAAAAACGACCATCTAAATCAAAACAAAACAACGATGAACAATAAACAAATTACAACAGTGCAAGATCTCTAGTCACTAATTAACAAAATCAAAGTGACTAAGAGATCATGAACTGCTGTAAAAAGCCAATACAACACAACATCTATATCAACAAAGGAGTGCAGGTAATCTAGTCAGGAATAAAACATATCAACCGGACTCAACAAACTCCACTCCATAGTTGAATAGTATTCATAACATTCATATATATATATATTAAACTAAGAAATTTGATAGAAAAATTACTTCAGGTTTTGTATCATCAGAAAAATTAAATAATTTTGATGAACGTGTTTTATTATTATTATGATATATTTGTTCATTAGTATTGATTAAATTTGAACGTCGAGTTGTTATTGATAATACATTTTTAATTTCATCTTTATTAGGACTTTTCTTTTTTTGTTGTTGATTATTAATATCACGACGTGCTGGTGATGCAAATAATAAAACTTTAACTTGATCATGAAAAGCAACATGACGTGTATGATCTTGTCGAGGTTTTGTTGGTGATAAACGTTTAAGAATACTTTTTAATGGACGTGTTTTAATTATTTCAATATTTGATGATGATGATGATGAAGGATCATTTGTAGTTGATGGAACAGTTGTCAATACTACATTTGATGATGAAATAGTACGTTTTTTCTTTGAATTATTTGCTAAACTTTTACGTGCAGATGTTGATGGACGACGTGAACGACGAAGTTTTTTCGAAATAGATGATTCTTCAGGTATATCATCTTCGTTATTGTTTGTTAGTATTTGTTCAGATGAATTTTCATTTTCTGTTATGATTGTTGATGATGTTGGTAGCGACGGTGATGATGATTCAGCTGTTGTATTATTCTCTTGTGATGAATCAATTGAAATATTTGAAATTGGTTGTTTAAATAGAGATATACTATTGCCAGTAGTGGATTGTTTATTTCCATTATTTGTATTACGAAGTTGATATGTTGTCATCATACTTTCAATTGTTGGTGTATCCATTGTACATGATAATGATTGTGTATTACTATTATCATCACAAAGTAATGGTATTACATGATGTGTACGTAATTTTTCTTTTTGATTTTCTGTTAAACAAGTCGATGTTGATGATATACGTTTATTAATAACAACTGGAGAATCAGATTGATTATCATGATTGATATTATTTGCTATTGGAACAAATTTTGATTCAATTTGATCGATATTATCTAAACGAGTTGTTGATAAATATGGTGAATGAAAATGTTCCGAAGATGATTGTTGAGGTTTTATTAATGGGGTTACTATATCAACTTGTTGAGATAATTGACTTTCATCAGTACTATTTGGTAATATACCACTACCAGATGTATTACTATTATCATGATCAGCAAGAAAACATGGTAATAATAAATGTTCTTTATCTTTAAGATCACGAAGACACGCTCTAAATGAAATACATACAAAATTAAGTCGTTTTTTGTTTTGATAGAATAAAATTATTCAACAATGCCGTATTAATGTGATTTCGAATGTATTTTCTTAAGGCGAGATGTCAGTTACCAATTGAAAATGCACAGTAGTGTCCTGCAACCCAATCGGTTCAGATTGAAAAATCGACCCGGTAATTGATAAGATCACGAAGTTTTAAAATACCGTTAGCTTTTCAAACTGCTGTTTATATAAAAATATAGGAGTGAAAACAGGTCATAGAAGTGAAAAGCAATACTGTTTTACTGAAGAAAATAAATTATCTAAAAAGTAAACATTTAAAGCATGGATGCATGTATCTACAATTTTGACGTTTAGAACCCACACTGCGCCATTAGCAACAAACTAATGTATACTTTATTAGATTGATCTTATTTTGAAAACAGGAACATACCAAATGAATTCTGAATCTCTTGCTATTTTAGTAAAGTTGGATATAATTTCTTTCTTTTCATTGTTGTTTATGGAAGAAACTAAATTTTGTACTTCTCAGATAAAACTGTATTGTGACTATGAAAGTATTTACCGGCTGCGGATCAGTTCCTGTTGCGAAAAGTCACACGTGTGCAGGGCACTAGTGTATACTTATACCTTCGAAATCAATTATATATTTTGATAGAAAATTGAAAGCTTTACAAATTAGACTATGTACATCTTGCCCTCATTGTTAATGATAATCAAAACATATCCTTTTCTTGTTACACATGTCTCATATTCTTAAGCTCATGAAATTCGAAGATTTTAGACCTCACAGATCCTATTAATAACTTAGAGATGTTATGAAGTAGGAAGGTGACATTTTGTGTGGAACATTTTCAGACAAATAATATGTAAAAAAAGAACATTGTTCCAAAAATTTGCAAGTTTCTTATGTTAGTTGGTCTTAAATGTATTGAACATAAGGGTTTATTTGATAAGACTCTATCAAGTCGATTTATAAAAAGTTATGTGAACTGTTCACATGTACTAACACTAACAAACGAGATCGTTTACAAGTTTATTTTTTAAAGTATTTGTTTTTATCATTGTGCCTAAGTTAACGGTTAAAAGATGCAAGTATTTTAGACTTTCTACTAATTGAAAGAAATATATTTTCAATTGTTTTCTGTTTTTATATGATATAAATAAATTAACTCTTATTTTTGTTCTTTTGATCAAATTAGAAACGTATTTCAATGCAACAGATGAGCATTGCCGCTACCATCATCGTTAATACAAAATAGATCCAGAGGTATTTCTAGAAATACTTTCCAAAGTTATGATGACCTTGTTTCCTACAGTTCAATTAGTGGCGATGCCATAGAAGACCTGAAGAAAGAAGCTCACAAAGAGAACGTTCTCAACTGTTCGATTAGTCACGATGAGTAGTAAAAGTTTGTTTTAGTTTGATTTTCTGATCTTCAATTATTGAATAATGTGTCTTTTACTATATGAGCATAGAATCACTGAGAATCTGAACGATTAAACGTCGAACTGAAATGTTGTCCATAGATATCAGATATGTATATTTAAAAAAAGGCGTCATTTTTTGGGCTGTGTTGCAAAATAAGGACGTTTTTATAGCAGATACATTTGTTCTAACTTAAAGTTTGAGATGTTTCCGGTGACTATATCAAGTTCTATTGCATACTGTTGAGATATCAACAGAGGGCACTACCTCCCCTGCATTATATCGTGGGCGCGACGAAACTAGCGTCCTCTCTTGATAGCTCAGCAATGCGCAATAGAACATACACCATTAGATACAGAAAGTCTTCCTCGACAAATCTAAGTATATCCCGTCCTGGTGTCACAAATAATTACAAAACTCAATCACTTAGATTTTCAAAGATCCTATGCTCATAGTAGCAAAAATTGAGAAAAGCGCTCATAATTTAACACACGAGTATCGAAAACTCATCATGACCGATGGAATGGCCATAGTATCCAGCAAAAAGCACTTGAACAGTGAGAAATAATACACCGTCAGCCATCGTGACGTCACTACTAAGTTCAATCTCTTGACAATCAAAATGTAAGTTAATAGTTTTGATTACTAATTGACATAAAAAAAAAATAAACCAAATTAAATTTACTATTTACCTAAGTTCATTTGGATAAACAATAAATGTTAAACGTCCAAATGTTTCATTCCAACATTTTCTTGCTTTATTTCTAATTATTGTTTTACTATGTTGAAAAGCAATTATTAATAATGGATAAATAAGTTGCAAAAGAGATAAACCATTTGATGATTCATATACAGTATGTAATGTTGATAGAATTTTATTTAATATAATATTATCTGTTTGTTGTTGTTTATTAACTAAGACAGGTGATGAATTCGACGTTGATGTTGTTGTTGTTATTGATATTTGTTCATATATTGTAAGAAATGTTTGTAAATGTGTTAAATTAGTTAAAATAATTTCTAATTGTGAACATGTTTTACATAAATTAAATAAATCAACAATAAGATCACGTACATATGTAAATACAATTGATTTTGATTGTTCATTTGTTGTAATTTTATTTGATTTTAATAAACAATAACAAATAAATAACCATTGAATATTATCAATATTATTATTTAATAATAAACGTTGTAATATAGAATTAATTATAATTGATAATTGTGTATAACAAAGTACAATTGATGATAATAAACGTTTTGATATATTTAATAAATCTATATCGATAAAATTTTTTAATAAACATTTTATTATTGTTAATATAAAACCAAATAAACGTTGATTATTATTATCATTTATTGCTTGTTGAAAAACAGGTGTATGTCGAAATAATTCAATATATAAATTAATTAATTGTTTACCATCAAGTAATATTAAACGACATAATGCTTTAAATAATTGTGTCCATATTAATGTATATGAATAATCAAGATTTTGACTATCAGAAAATGATAATGGACGAAGTAATAATTCAATAGTTGTTTCTTGTTGTTGATTATTTTCATCAATTGTACGTGTACGATTAAGTATATTAATTAAATGTGTTGAACAACGTAACCATATATGCCAAAATAAAAATGAAATTTTTAATGGTTGAACTGTTAATTCAACTGAACATTTAAGTAATAATGAACATGTTTGATGACAAAAATTATGATCAGATGTTTTTGATAATGTATCAATTAAATATGATAATATATGAAGATATGTTTCTTCAATTGTTTGATCATTATCATTATTAAAACGAATTGAATGTTCTAACATCATATGAAGATATTGATCAGATAATGTTGTACGAGCTGAAGAAGATTGATCTGATGATGAAAATTTTTCTTCTATTGAAAAAGAAAAATCAATTTAAAACTTTGAATACTGTTCTATGAAGGGTTTTCGCCTTCGAAGGAACAATTTCAAAAGCAGAAAACCGTAACCAGGGTTTTCCACTCATCAAAATGTCCTACTTTTTTTTTACATGTGAAGACAAAACCAAATTTTGGAATACGATTTGCCTTTTTTCTGACAGAAAGTGAAATAAAAATCAACAGATAATGTTATAGTGAGGGAAATAGACGTCGAATTTCATTTTTCTTCTCTCCGGTCACCACTTCTAGCACTTTCTATCGGATTTTAGTCCTTCCTAACAATATCTTAAGTCTAGAAGAGTTGTTGCTAATACTTATCATTAATAAGATTATTCAATCTTATCGTCTTTTTCTTTTTCTTTTTTGACTTTTCCATAAATTTTAGCATTTCTTGAGATTATACATAGGCTTTTGTAACATAGAATCAACGTTAATAAGCTATTCGATATCTATGAGAAAATATATTTCCTTTTTTGACCACTTCATCTAACAAATGTCATGCTTGATACTATTGCTTGTGAACACTCAGTTAGTAAATCAATTTTTATCTTCATTGTAACTATGCAAATAAGAACAATTCATTAAATTCTTATTGGTAAACAATAACTACTATATTCCAACAAGAAAAATATAAGAAATATATATATAATGATATAAAAGAAAATCAGGATAAGATATGTCAGTCATCACTTATAACTGTTAATAACTGTCACCTCTTAAAATAGGGCAAATTATACCCGGTCGGAGTTTCTATATGGCCGCAACCATAATACATAATAAATATCTTTTATTGAATAGACAAAAATGAAAAGAGCAAAAAATAACAAAATGTCAATCTGAATTTGAGGCCAACGAACTTTGACTATTTTTTATTATTGATAACTATGAATGAATGATTTATTAGTATGTTTATTATACAATAATAACAAAAACAAGAACTATAATATAACAGAGAAACGAAGAATAGCTAAACTATAGGTACATTTATGTTATTTATTCATCAGATAACTTTTTATTTTAAAAAATCATCTCAGAACGGTTTAATTTAAAGTTGAAATCAACTTTATATGTTACGTGACCAGTTCATTAAATTCTACAAACTGTCATAAAGCTAATCGAACATGGAGACTTACACTTGAGAGCGTGTCTTCGACAACGTAAAAACCAAATTTCAGTAAACGATTATAAATTTTTTTCTCCTATCGAATTATCTCCTTGTTTTCTTAGTACTAACATTCTAATCATCAGACAATTGTCTTTAAACTTTTTTTCATAGGAAATCTTTTAAAAAAAACATACGTAATGGATTATTTTGTGTAGCTGATAAAGTTTTTGTTCTTATACTTGAATCACGTAATACTGTTTCAATAGCCAGAGGAAAACCTGTTTGTTCAAATGTATTAAATAATTTTAATAAATATCGAGTTGATATACGTGAATCAATCCATAATTGTTCAATACGTGTTAAAAGACATGTATTTATTATTGCACGTTGATTATCATTAATAGTATTATTTGATATTAATAAATGTGTTAGATGAGTTAAATAAGAATTCCAACATATTAAACCTAAAGATTTATTTTCATCTATTGTATTTTCTATTAATTCATCAACAATTGTATCAAATAAATAATTAAGTATTTGTTCACCAGCAATTTTAATAATATATTCACCATTTGTTGTATCAATTAATATATCATGAAGATATTGTTCACCTATATGACGACATTCTAACCACCATGTTGTTTTAGATGTCATATGATAACCAAATGCAAATGAAAGAAACGGTAAAACAACATCATCAATATGTGTTGGATATGCTGATAGTAATATTAACCATGCACGACATTTAGCTATTGATGCTGATTTATTTTTTGATGTATAATCAGGTAGAAAAGGTGTTAGAAATAATTTTAATAAACGATTATATAATTGTTGTTGATGAATATCATCATTATGTAAATTTAAATCTGACCGATATATATGTGACATAAATGATGCCCATGAAGAAAATGCAGCAGCACGTATTGAATAATTACCAACGATAAATGCTATTATTAAAAAAAAAATATAAAATCTTCTGAGGATTTTTCAAAACATTTTAAGATAAATTGTATGTAAAACGTTTTTTTTGCGGCTAAGCAATAACTGAGGAGAACAGATGTCAGACTCCTTAGCAGCAGAGAAACGTGCTAGACAATATTAATAACAACAACACTTAGACTCCTAATATATTTCAAGCATACATTGATTTCCCATAGTCACGATATGATCAACATAAAAAGTGTGAACTGATCGTGTTATGTACTGATGCATTGAGAACTGCTGTAAATATAACAGATAGATACAATAGGCGTATTTACTAGTTAAATCAATGGTTAGAATAATAATAATATTAAATTAAGTAAAAAACAAAACTAATAAAATTCGAAATACAGAAATAAGTAAGACAGCACATTTCTCTGACGATCAATTATTCTTAGAAAACAGTTGTAGTCTGTTAGATTCACATTACGGATTTAAAGCGGTTGTGTTGACGCGCTAGTTCATGGCGGCATGCAACAGTGCCACCTGTAGAAAAGTTTCATGTAGCTAACGAGAGAAGCTGTTCAGTTGTTCCCTTCTAATTTAATAATACTTCTACAATGATTTCGATCGCTATTGTTTCTTATCTAAACTATCGAGTTTTGAATTGAAACTTTGTACATGTAGAAAACTCAGCTAGACTAATTTTCGTAAAAGTGAATGTGGTATATACATCTCATGGAAAACGATGTATTTATTACAAGTCTCATCTCTCGAAGAACCTTTGTTCAAAACTTTTGAATGTTTTTTTTTAGGAAGCTAGTCTGAATTTCAATAGGAATTCAAATTCTATTGTGATTTTCATGATTTATCTTTTGATCCATGAAAGGTGTCTTATAAGTTTTGAGTCTCAATGAAAATTAGTTTATATGTAAATTTATATCACTATTATTGAAAGACAATATCGTCTTAAGTATACGAAGTTGATAGAGATATAGTTTGGTAAGGATCACTCTTTGTTTACATATAAACGAATGTTCGTTGTGACTAGTTAATCTTGCTTTACAAAATACCCAATTTATGTCTCTTTTTACATATTACTCCAAACGATCAGAACCCTATTGAAGTCAAAAATATCGCAAATCTCATTAATTGTCCATATATATTGTACAAATACTTTCTTTTTTTTTTACGAAAGTTCTAATCATAAAAATCTCTTTGTAAAATACAAAAACTTCAGCCTACCATCTTGCATAACAGCTAACATTTCATTTCCTTTCGTATGTCCACGTGTTAATAATCGACTAAGAAGTGCAGCTAATGGTTCCCATAAATGTATAGCAAATAAAGCTAATTTAGTATCATCAACAAGTTTAACCCATGTTTTCAATTGCGTAAGAAAATGTGTCGATATAATTGATGATGGTGATCGACCTAATACATCAACAATTTCCTTTGGTAATGGTGTAAAATTTTTGACTATTTTTGTAAGTAACTCAATAACTATATCACCATAAATTATATATGATGATGATGATATATGTGTAACAACAAAATATAATATACTTGATAACCATTCTGTTAATGTTAAATTTAATAAATTTGAATAATTCTCAATTAGTATAATAAGAAATCGTAAAGTTAATAATAATAAATCATTATTATTATCTTCAGTTTTTAATAATATACGTTTAATAAATGGTAATAAATCTTGTTTAAATTGTATATCAGTTAATTCTATAAGTAAACTTGTATGATTTGTTATTAAAGCATCAAGAATGAATATAAGAATTTTAATATCAACATTTACTGAATTTGATAATATATTACAAAGAATTTCAATTAATGTTGATCGAAGATTTGTTATTTGATAACATTGATTATAAATATTTATAAATTGTATTGGACAATGAAGATTTCTACGAAGATCATCGAGTATAGTGGATTCATCCTGAGTTGTAGATATTACAGGTGGTGTTGAAGTCACATTTGTTGAACGTGCTTTGCGCACTCCTGTCATTGATGACATTTACACAGAGACAATTACAATCTTCAACTATGAATAAGAAAATAAATAGACTGACCAATTGCAAAGCCATCGTACTAGAGAAAATTTAACAAACAATGGCAGCCATTTAAATGGATATTTTAAAACAATGAAAGACCTCCTTTTTGATCCAAAATAAAAATAAATAAAAGAAAGTATCTTATGTAGCAACAGAATATACAAGCAACGTGTAAATCTATAGTTAGTAAAAGATGTTTTATTAACATTTTCATTTGTCTATGAATGGATTCGTTGTTTCCAACAGAATCATTATCGCTGAGAAAAATTTCCTGCAAATTATTTCATTGATTCTAGTGACATCTATATAATGATGTCGCTAGCTATTGAAATTATATTTAGAGTAGCTATCGAAAGTTTCGGTATCAAGTTAACGGTTCTTAAAATTGAATCTGTTTTGCATAACATGTTTATTATTAACAGAGTTCGGTAAGTAGTGAACATAAGCACCAGCTTCCTGTTGATAACGGTTAACGCATTTTTTTACAAACATTTGGATTCAGAATTTGGATTCAGAACCACTCATCCATAGATAGAAGGCTTCAATGTGTTATGATCTTTAGGCATAGCAACGTTCCCATCTTCTCAGACGGTTACAGCATAAACTTCGCTATATTGATGGTTGTAATCATGAAATTTCCCAAGTCTCACTGGAGAAATTTGCAAGAAAATAATTTGAAAATAGTTAATATTAAAAGTTACTTTTTGACAAAATCTATCAACACTCGTACTGAGAATATTCAAACATGATATCCTAAATGAGACAAACTACAATTGGTTGATATGAAATTTTTATTAGAGACAAAGGCAGCACTAAATTCTCAGATGAAGGATCGAACGTTATGAGATCTTTTGCTAACGTCGAAATATTCTCGTCTGAATAAAAGGCCTAGGTAAACCTTCTGATTATTTCCCACCTATTAGTATTAAGCGTTACTCAGATTCAATATGAATTGTTTTCTTGGTAACGCTTTCGTATTTTCGTACTTATAAAAGTACGACGCAAGATTCTTAGGAACATTAAGTTGCATTTCAAAATTTTTTAATTGAAGCAATTTTTTACAAACATTCTTATTAATAAGAGAACATGCTCTTTTTCTATATTTTAGTCTACCATAATTCTTTCATATCCTCTTGATATTGAAAATCGTATCAGGAAATTACTATTTCTCATATTGTTGTATTATCAATAAGAATTCTTTCTCATGGTTCAATCTTATACAATGTCAATGACATATTCTCTTCCGCATTTAAAACCATCATCTAATGATCAACCTTTGTTACTCTTATCTTATGATTAAGAGTACTAATCATATAAGATCATTAATTCTCATATGAAACTATTTCGAACTAGATTTCATCAAATATCTATTTACTAATAAATCAATGTTTACAAAAACAAAAAAAGAAATTAAATTTCGTGAAGTTAATCGAATGAACTTGGATTATTTAATCGTTGATAATTTTAATTCTTGAATCAATGGTGGATTTTCTGGTGATAAACTAAACATAATTTGAATTTTACCATGTTGACATTCAATTTCAAATCGACCACGTAATTGATTCTTTGGAATAAATTCTCCTATATTTAGAATTTTTCCTGCTTGATTGAATAATTCTTGTGAAGTTGCTTTTCGTAATTCTAATGTTTGATCAAGAAAGAAATTTTCCGCAAATATTTTTGATTTTTCAGAATCATTTATATTCCAATTGTTCTCTAAAATAAGTTTTATTATTTGTTGTTTTCTTTCAGCAAGCATTTTCGAAACAGACATTTGTCGTGATTTTAAATCAGCAAGTGTAATTATTTGATCCATGATAACTGCATTGATGTTACCCAAATCTGCATAAGTTCTATTAGCAAATGAGACAAGTCCAATACCGTGTTCAGGTAAAATTATCCAATTACTACCAAAACCTGGTAAACCTCCAGTATGATCAATAGATACAATTCCATCGTTATTTTTAGACCAAATAAGTCCATAACAATAAGCATAGACTACTGGACATGGACGATGTCTATATGTATTAAGTTCTATGAAATTCCATGGATGATGCATTTCACGTAATGAACTTCGTCGTATAGGTCCATATTCGGGATCATTACGTGGTGGCCAAGCTTGTAAATGATATGATATATATTTACTAAAATCTTCAATTGAACTAATTAATCCTCCCATAGCACCAAATGTTCCATCATGAAGTAGATTTTCTTCCGAATAATGTTCACATTCCCAACGATAACCACGAGCTAATAATTCCGATGGAATTTGACTATATTCCCAGAATGTATTTTTCATATCGAGTGGATCAAGAATTTCTCGTTTAATATATTCTTGATAAGATATTTGTGATACAACTGTAATAATTCTACCTAATATTGTAAAACAAAGATTTGTATATTCCCATATAGTACCAGGTGGATTTGACATACTAATGCCTTTTGTTAATATTGCTAAGAATTCGCTATCAGGTAAAGCTAATAGTCGATCTGCCCATGGATCATCTTCTGGCATACCAACATGTTGAGTTAATAGATGATGAATCGTAATTATTGGTGCATCAGTTGTTAATAAATTAGTTGTTTTAAGTTCAGGAACATATTGATAAATAGAATCATCAAGACGAAGTTTACCATCATCACGAAGTTTTATAATAGCCATAGCAGTAAAACTTTTTGTCATCGATGCAATACGAAATAATGATTTTGTAGTAATTGGTATTTTTCGTTCAAGATCTATATAACCAAAACTATGAGAGTTTAACAATTGTCCATCAACTATTAGTCCATAGATAAGACCAGGAAAATGATTTGTTTGGAATTCTTTTTCAAAAAGTTTTTCGATAGTTGGTAATGCATTTTTAATTTTTTCTAAGCGTTGTTCATCAATAAATTTGGCTGGTTCATAAAAAGAGTTCGTGTTACTAATCTCTATGTTATTTTGGTTTTCATCATTAGTTAAGGATTTTTCATTAAGATTCATTGTTGTAATTTGTTCACTTAAGTTACCATTATGGTTAAAATTAGACATTATTATATTCTAAATTAAAACAAAAATTAATTCTTGATTTATTCCAACAGATAAAATTCATTGAGATTCGTGTCATTTGGTCCTAGACTAAAGAGATAGACATATGCATATCGTCGTATGTAAGTCTAAACGTGCATGTAGAAGATGATCTGTTTTAGAAAAGCAATTTTTTTGTAATATAAGTTTTAGTTTTTTTGCTTATAACGGAAAACCGATTATGACTATTCAAAGTTCATATACCCAACGAAACGACCCTATATGATCGGCAACGTACATACAATGGTAATACTGAGCGATAAAATTAACAAAACTACGGTCGTATAGGCAGGGTCATTTCACAGTGTATAAGAATTTTGTATTTTTCATGCTGAGATATTACTTCTCAGTTAATTTTGCATCCTAATGTATAAGTACTTTTTTTTCGTCTTTCTACTCGATCATTCGTATTATAGCTACCACACGATAATTATGTTGTAGAAAGATAGATACAGATGAATTCATATTTCTAGACCCTATCCTTGCAGTCTAGGGAACATGATCTTTTCAATTACTGTGAGTTTCATAAACTAAATTCATGTGTAAATTTTTCATAAATTTTTGTACAAATCATATAAATTTAATAAGAAACTCTACGAAACTTTGGCTTCATCTATAAAATATTATTTCGTTTATTTCAATTGGTTTGTATACTAATATAGCTAGAGTTAATATATTAATCAACTCTATTTAAATTTCTATAAGAAAGAATATAATTACTTTCTGCGACAAATTTTTCGATTACTTTAACACCAGGAAAAGTAGAATAAATGTGTCACGACGACCGTTAAATCACAAAACGGTTGTTTGTATTGGGCTTTTTTTTCTTTAAGATATGCTCTTATATTTATTATTATGATAAGAAAAGCAAAAGCGTGCTGTAGAAATAATGACGTAGTCGCAATGGTTCTGTTTCTTTTTTCTTCTCTCATTGCCGTATGATGTTCGTTCGCCTTGTAAAAGGTAACTATCCAGTCGAACAAGACGCAATGTTACTAATCTAATCTAATACGATAGCTTTATTTGCATTACACCAGCAGTACTATTCTTCGACTGAATATTGGAAATTTGCTATAAAATTTTTCTTATATTTTCTCGTAAAAAAGAAACTCTGGCGCCCTCGGCTTAATCTTTTATGTATTATAAATGTTCATAGGCTTTCTTGTGAAACATTACGAATGTGTTATCCGCAGAGTTGAAACTTCACTACATTCATTTTTCTTGTTTGTGCTTTCATTTTGTACAATTTTTCGGTTTTTCTTTGTTGATATATACATCATTATTGAAGTACATTTAAACATCTGCATCTGTAACAAGATGTCAAATAAAACTTTATTCAACACTTTAATATAAAACACAGTGTACATTATGAATTTCATTGAATAACCTATAAATCATTTTCTTTCTATAAAATGCATGTACTAATAATAAATCAACCAAAAGTTGCTCGTCATATGTCTGGCTTCTGTCTGATGCAAAGTAAAAAAAAATTGATTTCTCATTTATATTGGCAGAATAATAAAGAAAAAAGATTTTATGCATTATTACAAGCAAAAAAATTCATCTGTCATTTTAATACTAAGAAAAACAGATAATAAACGATTTATTGACACAACAGAAATGAATACACACTTAGTATTATTTTTTTTTAAATAATCGTTATATCAAAAATAAGAAAAATAAGCTCAATACTTTTAACTGTCAGTCCTAGTATTATTTTTAAAATTAAAATACACAGAACAAGGAAATCAAAGTAAAAATTTATGCTTCATTTTTTTAAACTATGGTTTTTCTCTATATTTAGCGGTGGCGTATTATAAATTATCGAAAGATAAATTCTATAGTTTGTAGTATATTGACAATATTTGTTATTATTGTTACATTTATTTCATTTCTTATATGTTGGTGTTTGTCTACTGATGAGTCATGATTTAGATATATGTATAATTCTACACATATATATAGTGTTCTTTTCCTTTATGTTGTGATCGCTCTAATTTCGTATATAACAATATTTCTTTTGTTTCTTTTTCGTATTCTTCATTCCATCTGTATGAGTCATATCACAACATATAGAGCTCTCTATATATATGCTTGTCTTTTCTTAAAAAGATGATTACTTTTGTTCGTTTCGTTTCATCTAACTTGTTGGTTGTTTCTGTTCTTCAAGTCAATAAAACAAGTTATTGACCTTGACCTTTATTGTATTACGCAATTGATAATACAATACATTTTCTGGCTTTTACGTATAACCTGAATACGTGACATAGTTTCAATAAATTCAATGAATATCAAAACAATAAGTCATGGTAATACTCCTTTCTATGCGTCACAATCAATATACATGAGTAAACACTTCATCGTAATGGAAGATGCTGGCTTTTCTATTAGGCCCAAGCTTTCAAATTATTTAAGTTGGTTTCCTATTGTGTCTTATTTATTTTGATGGTCGTCGGCTGAAACCAAAATGATTTCTAGACTATGGGAACATATTTTCAAAGTTTTAAAAGATAAGAAATAATGTTGAATTCATTCTTTTAAGATTTTTGAGCTCAAAATCCTAAAACCTAGGCATAGTTTAATATAAACATATTAATTAACATAGCCACTTTGCAGGAAATCAATTAATTAAGTTGTGTCTTCTATTACAGTGAGCGTATATTGTTTTCAAAGATGTCTCAATGTCGCATGTTTGTTCACACTACCGCTAGTAACGCTTATGACTTTCGGTTCCAACTATAAACGTTCGTAGTGTGTTTCATACCCAATGCGAATCATTTATTATAAAAAATTCAAGTGAATCCTTGAGAAAGAGTTTCTGAATATATTTTACTAATAAAAACTTTTGCAATACTATCCATAATAAAAATTTATCTCATAAATGGACTGAAGTGGGTTCTATGACTAGTACAGGTGACTTAGACGCATGTACATTATCAGGATGTGTCAAAAGCAGCTCGATTCTATCATTCCTCAGGCTTTTAAAATTTGTTTCCGAACGGTGCGTTTTTCCAGAACTCAATTACTCTGTACTACTAGAGTTCGGACGAAAGTATTCATACTATTACTTTTTCAATCAAAGGTAAGAGTGCAAGTATTTCCCAGCTGTACTTTGGATTTATGCTTGTACTGTGAGACAAAGACTTTCCTACTTATCCTTAAGTGTAAAATTCTGTATTCCGTACTTTTACTTGTAATACGACACAATGTATTTTCGATAGTATTCAGAGACACTAAATATTGAAGACAAAATTTATCATATTCACACATCAAGTAAAAATATCAAGTATATATTTTTTTAAGTGTAAATAAAATATAAATTGAAGAATAAAGAAAGATTTTTTTTCTGTGGTAGGAAAATAGACAGCTACCTCCTGTGATAATAAAATATGTTTATCAACGTTCTTTCTTATCATCAACAAGATTTCGACACATGATATTGTACTAATATGAAGAAGATATATGCAAAAAAGCCCAGTCTATATATTTTGTGAGCTAGTTGAAATAAATAAACGATTAGTTTTTCGTAAAAGAAAATTCTTTCTTTAAATTACTATATTTGTATTTATTTTTTACTATAAAGAAACATAAAAATGACTCAAAACTTTCCATGTATCAAATAATATTTAAGTGTCAAAAACATTTTAACTATTAGATGATTAGATATAGGATTTGTCTTCTATATTTCATCCTACTCTTACACAATTTATGAGTCACAGGTTAAATAACAACTGTAAATAGGTATTAATTCCCTTTTACAACCGAGAAACTAACGTACTGTGACTTATGAAATAAATAGTAGAATGGTTATTTCGTCATTGTTATTACGCAACTTCTATTAAATTACTCATCGATCTGTATAAAAAGATGTCGTAAGTTTTGTTTTTTTCTTTATTTTATATATTTCTTGCACAATATTACCTTTCATACAATAAAAATGGCATCGAATCAACAAGAGTATGTGGAGCAATTACAATTACTCCAAGAACGTTATCCACAAGTATCAACACAAAATCTATTGCATTTTTTACAACAGCATCATGGTGATGTTGATAAGGTATAGTTGATTAAATTTTTACACGCATTCATAGCCCGCTATTACCTCCAATGCGGGTGAATGGAGGTTGTCGATGAGTGTCTATATCGACATAAAAAAGAACAATTTCTTTTGTATTTCGAGATAAAAGAAATCTTTAAAATTTCTATATTTTAATCAGGTTTGTGAATATCTTATTCAAGAAGAACGTCGTTTGAAAAAACTCGACTCACTCGAATCTCGTTTTGGTACTGCGTTAATAGAATTACAAAAAGAATATCCAGCATCGGAATCAATAAAACGTACACGTTTACTGAGAATTTTGGAACGTTTTGGTGGTGATGTTGAACATGTTCGAAAATTTCTACAAAAACATGAAACGAAGCATAATGAGCGTAAGATTGATTCGAGTACAGTTCAATATCAACAACAAGAAGAAATAAAAACAAAATATCCTACACAATTAGCAGAATTAAGAACAGCAGGTATCAATATTCATAGTCCATGTGTACTTCTACAACTCGAAAAATTTCACGGTGATGTTAATAAAGTGAGTTGAAAGATCTAAAAAGAATTGCAACGTTATGATATGATTGAAATTTTAGCTGTAACTTGGTTAATAACTTTTGTTCTCGTTGATCGATTTGAACAACTGTTTTTGTAAATATTGCTAGTTTCTAAGCGTTGTGCACTTGGAGCCAATTCTGGCTTTCTAGTTCACATTGTCGCTGACTTATAAGGATCATACCATGAAAAAATCGGACTTCATAGAGTGATACTCTAAGAAAAGGATGTTTTCGGAAGAATAGTCTATTTCTGTAGCACTTGAAATATTCTGTTGAATGATGCATCTATCCAGTTTCTCTCTTTCCGTTTCCATGTTTATTGGTTTGAAATACTGTATGACAGACTTTTCGGAATGATTGAAATTATTTTTTTTATTTTTTTTTCCGTTTGCGAACCAATTAACGAAAAACTGTTTAATGGAAAATAAAGTTAATAGAAAAGTTACTTTTGAATAATTTTTCTGTTTCGTAAAAAAAGAAGCAATCTTTATCTAAAATTTTGACGTCTACTCACTTTATCGTGAATTCGAATAGTTGACTTCTTTGTTATGAAGTTCTTTTACTATTTTCCTCATAAATTGATATTTTCTATCTTGAAAAGACCAATTGCTATTCAAAAGAAAATCGATTTTATTATGATACAGTATATTTTGTCAAATAGCGCCACATTTTTCCGGCTGGGTGAGTCTGCTAATCAGTGATAATTTTTGTGGCGGCATCTTCTGACGCTAAGCAAAAATAGTCCAAGTGAGTAATGCATGCAGCATGAGGGGCCTCACTCTTCCTAGGAAGCACGGTTTTGACTCGAATTCAACATTTTTCAAAGAATTTCAAAATATTTATGCGATGAGATTTAGAAATAAGTTAAGGAGAAGAACAATGGTTTCTTCGATTTATATGCTTAGACATACATTTTGAGAATTGTATTACCTGTTAACAAATTAATCACGTATTACTTATTATTCTCGGAAAATTTGTATTACACAATAAACTGTAAGAAGACCTGTTTCATGCTGTATGACAACTGGGAGTGAATCCATATAGATAATATTTAATACAATTCGATCTGTTTCTTTGTGAAAAGTCATCCCATTTTTGTTTCGAACAAACATTCACAATAAAAAAGTATTTTCATCGTATAGAGTTTGTGCAGCCTACTACAGCGTGTAGCAAGATATTCCCTTTCATGTAATATATGTCAAAGAATAGCGATTCAAGATGTACTGCGTTATATGTTATCAAACTCGTTTCATTTGAGAAAATGATTCTATTTTCATTACACAACATTGGTTCTGAATAAATAAGCAGTTGTATTATATAGAATTTCAGCTGGTTAAAATTGTTTTTTTCAATTAAATAACGTTTCTTACAAAACGCTTTCACTGTAAGTAAGTCATATCTCGGCAAGTACACAGGACAATATTAGGAAACTTTCTGTTGTCTATCATTGAGATAAAATATAATAAAACGTGCTATTCATGAGTGAATGTTTTCCTCTAACGAATGATTTTCTCATAGACAGCTAGTGGATAGACATACTCTATAGTCTAAATAGATCCAAAACGATTTTGGCAAAATTTTGCTCAGTTTATAAAATCATTAAATATAGACATACATATCTATAATAGGTATTGGAAATGACAAAATATCGTGAAGAAAAAAAAACTCATAGTATTGAACTGGATACTAAATATTCAAGTCAAATTGAACAACTTGAAACTGATGGTATAAAAATAAAAAACAAACGACTTTTATTAGAATTATTAGAAAAATCTAATGGACAAGTTCATATTGTCAAACAACTTTTAGCTGAAAGAAATAAACAAAAGTCATCAATTAGTATAAATGAAGAAAATCATACAAAATTATCATCGTCTAAAAAACAACATGAAATGGATGTTGATGATATTGATAATCTTAAACAGCTTCGTGCAGCAGGTATACATGGTAATCCAATGAAAATCTTAGCGCTATTCCATGAATGTAATCAATCTATTGAAATGACTAAAGCTCGTATTGAAAAAGATCGAGAACAACGTGAACGACAATGTGAAAAACGAACACAAGTAAAAACGACATATTAAAAAAAAAACAAAATAATTTAATAATTATATCTTTGTTTTTAGCAACATATTGTACTTGCCGAAATTCATAATTCTTATTTAACAATAAATAATCGAGATGATTGGCCGAATAATATTCAACAAGTTTATTTAGATGGAAATAATATGATGTTTGTTATTGATTCAATTCGTCGACTTTGTTTAAATCGAGCAAGTAAAAAAGCTGAACGATCTATTGCAGAATTAGCTGCAGCATGGAATGAACAAATGCATATACCAAATGTTGAACTTGTTTTTGATTTAACACATCAATTAGAACAAATTCAAAGTATTAAAGTTAGTAGTGCACATCCAATGTATAAAACAACTGATGATATGCTTATTGATATTGTTCAACGAAGTGAAAATCAAGAAAAAAATAGACATACAATTATTGTTACATCTGATCGAGGTTTAGCTATTCAAGTAAGCTTGTCTTTTTCTTTTCTTTTGTTTTTGATTTTCTTGATTTATTTAAAATTTAGTTAAAACGTGAAGGATGTCAACTCGTAAAACCATATCAATGGTTTTCACATTGTGCAATGGTATTAACACCAGATTTAATCAAACATGAAGAAACAACGGAGATGGCTGCTGCAGCAACAACAGCAACAACAAAAAATAAAATTCAATGTGATCTTAATCAACTTGTTCGTCGTGTTGTTAAAATTGACACATAGATTCTTTTTGTTAAATATTTTCCTCTAATTAAGAAAAATATATTGTCTTTTTTTTTTGTCAAATAAATTAAACAATCAATAATATTTATGAAGACATTGTATGTATAGAATGATAAGTATATATGTATATATATATATATCCATCCGTTTTGAAAAAGCAATCTATCATATTTGTTTCATAAAAAAGAATGAAAGACTTTTCTTTATACCTATTATCAAATGCATTCGAGTGTAACGCCTGACCGTCTAACACCATGATGAAATGTATACGTATAAAAAAAAAACTGATTGCGTTTTGTTGTTTGATTCAAGCGGACAACTCACTTCTTTTTATACCATTCGATTATATGAATGTGTCACGTTAATATGTATACGTTGTTCACATCGTTAGTACGCTTTTTCGATTTTTTTTGTTCAACTCAATCAATGCGTAACCAAAGCTTTAATCAGACGATGAAAGACAGTTCAAGTTGACTATAACTGATCAGTATATGAACAATTATTGAGCGATTATACTACCACAAAAGTAAGTTATTATGAATGAAACCATGTGAAATACAAATAATAATAATTATTCATGAGAAAATCGTTTTTTGAAAGATCTTTTTCTTTATGATTATATACTAGTATAATTTACTAATTCAGATAAATAAATATATTGAATTAGAATATGCCTGCTGCAAATTTTGCTAACTCTTCTACTCTTGTCAGTGGAGTACCATCGATGACTCTACATAATGCTGCAACGGCTGTTCAAAGTGGTCCCTATACAAAAGCACAATGTAAAATAATTTTGTTTTCTTATATTTTTTCTTTTTAAATTATCATATTAAATCAATATGTTTATTTTTCTTAGTTCAAAGTACAATGGAAGGTTCTCGAACAATAAAAAGTTCTAAAGACGTTGAATATATTCTTCGTGAGTATCCAGCTGCATTAGAACTTTATCGAACAGGAAAATATAAAGTTAAAGTTAAATGTGAAGCTAATGTTGAACGTGTTATTCTTGTTGAAAAAAAAGTAACCAAAACGACAACAAATGATTCAACAACAACAACAACAACAAATAATAATAATCAAGATAATAATCAAACTGTTGTTGATGTTTCGAATAAATCTGATGAAAATAAAGAAGTTAAACATGAACAAAATTCACGACCAACACCTAGTCGTACACAATCACAAGAATGTGTTGCACGAACAACATCAGTAACAAATGGTAATAATATTGTTCATGCAACAATATCATCAACTTGTATAACAAATACTAATCAACCTAAAGTTGATCATCAACGAACACCATCCAACGAACGTGAAATTTCTGTAGCATCTCATAAAAAAAAGTCTTCTCATCATCGTTATCATTCAGGTGATATTCAACATAAAGAATCCAATCACAAATATCAAGGAGATAAAATCAATCGAGATTATCCAAAGGTTATGATGCCTTATGTTCCACAAGTTATTAAACCTGGAAATCAATGGCAACAACCACGATTTCCACACCCATATTACAGCAATCCTGCATTACATCAACATCAACAACAACAACAACAGCAACAGGGATCAAACTCACATCTGCCGGTATCATATCTACCACAGCAAAATCCACGATATCAACCACCGTATTACTATCGTCAACGACCAACTACTCCAATCAACATTCATCCACAGTAAGTTAATAATCGATAATAAACTCTATTCATTTTCGATTGTCTTATTTTAGGCAAGCTTCTTATTCATTATTACCAACACCAGTAATTCGTAAGCCAAATCTTCATTCAATGAATCACTATCCAACATCAACTCGATCCGTAACTAATATCATGGGAGCTCCACCAACTATTCGTACATTTCATTCCAACCAACAACAACAACAACTTTCATCTCTTCGCCAAATATATCAACCACAAAGACCATTGCCTATGAATAATTCACGGCCTAATATGGCAAATGAACCATTGCGTAATGTCATGAATAATAGCAATTCTTATATCGAACAACAAAGGGGTGCAAGAAATCGGACACATAGTGTTGATGTAAGTGCTCGTAACAAATTACCAGTTCATATATCTAATCTTCCACAAAAAACTGGTACACCCACTGTTGAACAGTATCATCATCATCATCATCGTCGTCATCACCATCGACCTCATCCAATAAATAATGTTGAAAATGGCAAAGAACAAAATATTACATCTGTATGAAAAATTAATCTAAAATAAATTGAATAATTTTTGTTTGGTATTTTCCATATTTTAGAAAGAACAAACAAGTACAGTTGCTGTTGAAAAATTAACCGTTCGTCAACTTAATGGTTTGTCAATTATTCATTATACATATTAATGAAAGTTTCGTTTTCTTTTTTCTTTTAATCTATAGACACATTTAATCGAATTGATCCATCAGGTCGAGTACCATATACTTTATTACCTGAAATTTTACAACGTTACGGTATAATATTATCTGATAATGATATAACTTCAGCTGCAAAAGATCTTGAATACAATCGTAAGATATTTCTTATTTGAGAATGATTATTTAGTTCATCTTTTTTTTTTGTTATAGTTAACGAACCAATATCTCCTCGACGTCTTATACATGTTCTGATCAAATTAGGTAAAATAACAAAATCAAATCAACAACAGCAACAGCAACAACAACAACAACAACGTCAACCTGTTTCACCATCAATATTACCTGAAGATCGTGAAGTTACGGATATAATGACACAACGTAACGTGAGTTTTCTTTTCTGATGTGTATTAATTTATTTTAAAAATTATTGACTTTGTTTCTTCCTTAGGTAACCAATACTCTTATACATTCATCAAATCAACTTAATCAATAATATTAATATTTTAGACATATGACAATAGATAAACAATATTCATCTTTCTTTTTTTTTTTTTCTTTTGTTTTTATCATTATGTGAATGTAATTTATTTGATAAACACATTGACTTAGAGAAAACGAAAACAAATATAATGTTTAAATAGTTTTACAAAAGAAGTTAAGGCTTTATATAATTCAATTAAATATGTTCTACAAAATATGATTGTTATCTAAATCTAAGTCTTTTGGACTTCTGCTGTTGAAAATAGCAATAATTGAAGGATTTATTCTGCTGTACAAGGATTTCAGTAATGATTACTGAGTTTTGTTAAGAAAATATTTCTCGTTAACCTCATCGAGGTTGAACTATTTCTGTTGTAAAACAGAGCTATTTTCATATTGTCTTGGATCATCGAAATCACGATTAACCAACAACTTTTCTAAAATTATTGAATGAATAATTCCAATCAACTTTCTTTCTAAGATTACCTGATTCGCTTAGAGACTTTCTCGGAAACCTGCGACAAGTATATCGTACAACTCTCTTAATAGTAAAAAGCTATTAATTACAATTAGTTAAAAAATTCAACAAATATCTTTTTTTTAAATTTTAATATCTATCAAAAAGAAAATATATTGAAGATTTAGATCGATTGTACTCTAGAGTTCATCGAATTATAAACCTAAAAAAGAAGAATAGACTTCCATGAGATCTGTTGTTATAGTTTAATAAAATAGATGTCAGCTAACGACGGTTAACATATAATTTACTATAGAATTATTCGTCGACTTACTTTTATCATTCTACGACACATTTTCTCAATCAATCAGCTGTATTTTTCGTAATATATTCGTCTATTTGTACTTTTCTCTCTTTTAGTTGATCGTTTTTTAAATAATTAATAATCATAAAACAAGAATGATGCAAATTATTGTCGATCGAATTCGTGCTACATTACCATCTGTTAATGACGATATTCTTGGTTATATCACTGGTTAATAATTTCTTTCTATTCATAAAATAATATTTATTATTATTTCTTTTTTCTTTAGATATTTTAAAAACAAATAAAACTGATTATACTGATTATCAAGAAGTAGACGATGCTCTAAGACCTATATTTGAAGAAATAGCTCATAATGAAATAGAACAAGAAGCAATTACTGAACTTTGTCAATTTGTTAGTGATCAATTAAAATTGTAAGAAATAATTTGAAGAATAACAAAATTAGAAAAAAAAGAAAAATTCTTTATTTATTTATTTTTCTTCTAGAGAAACATTATCTGATGAAAATGGTTTAACTCATGAACCAAAAAAATTATCAGCACCTGTTTTAATTGGTCATTATTCAGGTTCATCGTTTGATGAAGTATCATCGGCTTTATTTAATATTTCTGATCGAACATTTATTAAACCAACAAATGAAACAACAACTGTATCACAAAAGAAACTTGAAAAAGCAGAAGCTAAACTTCGTGAAAAACAAGAAAAACGTGCACGAGATGGTGTAACAAATGGTGAAAATAAGTATGTTTAAATTAATTTTGATTTAATTTTGATTTATTTAAATATTTAGAGAACAAGCACGACTTGAAGATGCTGTTGTTAGTCAAGCAACTAATAAACGATTACTTGCCGATAATGAAAATAGTGATTCAACAAATAAATCGTAAGTTAAGTAAGAAAAAATGAAATTTTTTTTATTGATATCATATTTTATTTTTAGATATGATGTTCATATTGATAATTTCGATGTATCCTATGGAAATAAGTAAGATCAATGTTTTCTTTTTTTTTTTTGCTGAATAATTGTTCAATTTTTATTTTTATTTTTTAAATAGAATGTTAATTCTTGGTGGTACTCTTGATCTTATTTATGGTCGTCGTTATGGTTTTGTTGGTCGAAATGGATTAGGTAAATTAAGTTTTATATGATGATATTGATAAGTCAGAGTTTTTTATTTTTATTTTTATAGGTAAATCAACTTTACTTCGTGTAATAGCTAAGTAAGTTTTGATCGAATTCTTTATTTTTGTTAAATAATCAGTTGAGATTGAATTGTAGAAATTAAAAAGAAAATTTTCGAAGATGATAATCTTATTTCAATCTTGTGGAAACTATTGTAGTTAATGAAAAATTAATTCTGACTCTTTCAGAACAATATTAACGATATCTAAAACAACGTAAAAGTGTTTTATAGAGATTCTTAGCATAGAAATTGATAGGTTTTTGTCAAAAATTAACTTTTAATTTTAACCATTCTCATGAAAAATTTCTCCAATGAGTTGCTTGTTCTATTCAAGTACTCCTTGAAAATTTCATTATTATAGCTATTAGTGAAATGGAGACTTGTGCAAAGGCCGTCCCCAATATTCTATTAACGCATATTTAATATTTTTTGAATTTCAACGGACAGTCGATAATAGATAGCCTGCTATAATGATTATTATCGATAGTTAAAATGATTGGTGAGTATTGTTCAAGTAACGTCACAGCAAGTTTTAGTATTGTTTTATCAAATCCGACTATTTTCTCGAAGTAGACTGAAATAGTCGAAATGAATCTAGGAGCATCGTAGTTTTATCATATATTCACTGTTATCCTATACGTACAACTTCAGACCAGTGAAATACTCAACCTAAGACCAACGCTCACCATCGCAACTCTAGCTGTATGTTATTTTCTGGTATTGTCTAGTTTCAAGCTGGAAAAATTCAAAGACTCTACATATGATATTTACTGTATTATTCGAAATAAAATTTCTCTTGTTTATATTTTTGATTATCAGTCGAGAAGGTATTATTGAATAAAGTGTATTTCAAATTTTAAGACATGATATTTTTGAAAGTAATTTTTTTTATTCAAGAAATTTTTTTTCTATATTTAGTCGAAGTCTTGTACTTCCATCTCATCTCCGTATATTACATGTTGAACAAGAAATTGATGGTACTGATACTATTGCTCTACAGAGTGTTCTCGAATGTGATGAACGACGGACAGCATTATTGAATGAAGAAAAAGAATTAAATAAAAGATTACATTCAACGTAAATTCTTTTTCATATATGATTATTCTTTTATTTTTAATTTATATCGTACGATTATTTCAGTAACGATTCATCAGTAGCTCACGATTCATTTATTTCAAAACGTTTAGCAGCAATTTATACTGAATTAGAAACAATTGAAGCACATAAAGCTGAATCAAGAGCAGCAGTTATATTAAATGGTCTTGGTTTTACTAATGAAATGCAATCCATGGCTACAAAGTAAAATTATTGATTTATCCTTATTTTTGTTTTTTTTTAAAGAGTTTTTTGTTTATTTTAAAATAGACAGTTTTCCGGTGGATGGAGAATGCGTCTTGCATTAGCACGAGCTCTTTTTTCAAAGTAAACTTTTATATTTTAAAGATTTCTTTAGTTTTTCTATTTTTATCTATGATATATCTTTAGACCAGATCTTCTTTTACTTGATGAACCAACTAATATGTTAGATTTAAAAGCAATTATTTGGCTAGAAAATTATTTACAAACATGGAAAAGTACTGTCTTAGTTGTTTCACACGATCGAACATTTCTCAATACTGTTGCAACAGATATTCTACATTTATATTCACAAAAACTTGATTCATATAGGTGAATATAAATGAAAAATTTATTAAGAAATAAACTTGCTCTCTTTTTTGTTAACGTAGAGGTAATTATGATACATTTGTAACAGCTCGAACAGAACGTCTTAAAAATCAACAACGTGAATATGAAGCACAAAAAGAATATCGAGATCATATTCAGGTTTGTTTAGCAAATTCATTCATTTTCTGTCAATAGATACTATTAACTGCCAGTTGAAAAGAGAATTTTCTCCATTTTCATGTGAAAATATGACATTGAAGAAACCGTAAACTTATTTTCTACACAACATGGAAACTCATAAGATCCAAGTGTATTTATTATGGTGCTAACTTTTCATCAAAGAAAAATGAGAATTTTTAAAAGACTTACAGACCACAAAAACTGGAGAAAGAGGTTTTTATAGGACTTAGGTTGTAATATTTTCGATTCTATGCGCGATAGTTGTCAGAATCGTATGAATACTCTAATTGTCGAAATAAGAATGAGGCAACAGATCTGTTATCTAGAATTAATCGTAGCCTTTCTCAACAGCAATAGGAAAACTGATTTTTGAATTTCAACTTGATTGTTCGTACAAACGAGCAAATCTAATGATCTGAGTTCAGTATAGATACATATCAAAAGACCTATTCCTACACAAAGTTTCAAGTCAAAATTCGAAAATCCGTTGTACTATTATCATAGCATTCATTATAAAAATATCGTAAAAGTGCAGTTTCTCCTCAGAAATAAGCTAAGGACATATAATACACATAGTCTCGACTCAAAAACGATTAAACTGTCAGAGAACGTTCTTTGTTAGTTCAGCACCTGCTCGGATCTTAATCGAAAAATTTTACTAATTCGATATATGAGTAAATAGTTGACCGGTATGGAATCTGTATCTAGTACCATGACATGACGAAGCTTTCGATACTGATCAAACATGAACGAGACTATTTTGTTCATATCCAGTATTAGTAATATCGGTTATCCTATTCTATAATCTTGATATAGATCATGAAATAATAGAAATAGGACTATTAAAAATGTTTGAAAGATATAAACAGTAGATAAATATATGATCGATACTATGCCTATCTATTATGTAGATCTGAATTTAAAATTTTGTTAACAGAATTCTAATGTTAGCTGGGTTTTTGATTGCTTAGAGTTTAATTTGATTTCCAGTATTTATTTATCGTCTAATCAATTAATAATTATCATATGTTAGTTGTTACATATACAACTTCTATCATTCTTTCATAGGTATTTATTGATCGATTTCGTTATAATGCTAATCGTGCTGCACAAGTACAAAGTAAACTTAAATTATTAGAAAAATTGTAAGTTATTGATTTTTCTTTTTCATAAAATCTAATTGAATAGAAATATTTCTTCTATTAAATTAGACCTGTTTTACGACCAGTAGAAAAAGAACATGAAGTACATTTTCGTTTTCCTGAACCTGAACCCCTGAATGGAACAATTTTACAATTAGATGATGTTGCATTTACTTATTCAAAAGATAGTCCAATGATATTAAGTAATGTAAATTTATCAGCTAATTTATCATCACGTATTTGTATTATGGGTGAAAATGGATCTGGTAAGAAATTAATTAATTAATTAATTTGTTTTTTTTTTTTGTGTATAATTAATATTCTTTTTAAGGTAAAACAACTCTATTAAAATTATTAGTTGAAGAATTAGAACCAACCAAAGGACAACGACATGGTCATAGAAATTTAGCAATTGGTTATTTTACACAACATTTTGTTGATCAATTACCAATGAATATTAATTGTGTGGAAGTTTTGCAATCGAAATTTCCTGGTAATATGGTTAATTTTTATATTTTCTTCATTTTATAGTAATTTTCTTTTAGGTAAATCTGTTGAACAATATCGAACAGAATTAGGTCGTTTTGGTATCAGTGGTGATACAGCATTACAAACAGTGATGAGTTTATCAGGTGGACAAAAATGTCGTGTAGCATTTAGTTTAATGTGCATGAAAAAGTAAGAAAATCATGTATTTTTTCGTATGAAATATTATTTCAAAATATTCTTTTAGTCCACATATTCTTGTACTTGATGAACCGACAAATCATCTTGGTAAAATTAAAAATTAGTTTCGTTGAATAATATGTATATATATATATTTTTTTTTTTTGTCTTCAATAGATATGGAAACAATTGAAGCATTATCTGAAGCAATAAAAAAATTTCAAGGTGGAGTTGTACTTGTATCACATGATGAATTACTTATTAAACGTATTTGTACGGAAGCATGGTTATGTCGTAATGGAAGTGTAATTGCACTTGAAAATGGTTTTGAACAATATAAGAAATTAATTGAAAGCGAATTACAATATTAAAATAACGATCAACGGTTTATTTGTTATTTTTCTTTTGTTTGAATAAATCAGAAAAAAAGCCGACAGAGAGAAAAGAATCAACTGGAAAAAAAATCGAATGAATTATATTTTCAAAAATAAATATTTTTTATTAATATATTCATATTATTGATAATTAACAGCATAAATATCAGGTGAAAAAAAAAATGAAAGTAAGCTTTTTCAAGCTTTGAATAGTAACTTATATACCTGAATTTAACGCCCAGATTTTTGGCAAAAAATATTTTGTTTCAGTTGCTAAATTCATCGAAAAATTTATTCACAAGATCAGCACTTTTATAGTAAAACATCATTTTTTTTGTGAAAATTGAAAAGAGTTGAATAATAAATTATGTAACTTTTTTTGTTCGCTAAGCATTTTTTGAAAAGATGTCTTCATTAGAGTTGACTGCTACTTTTTTTTTCAATTATTTGATATCAACGAAACTTTCAGAGAATGCTTTTATATGTCTGGAATATACACTAAGTTAGCATGAAGATGCGTGAATATTTCTAGACTGAGATACAAGTTTTCTAAAAACCTTGATTTTTAAAGGTTTTATGCAGTTTCTTTGTCACAAAAGCATCGTGAGAGGAAAATAAAGATAAATTGTTTGAGTTAATGGGCAAAAATTGGAAAATACATAAGATAATTTTAACAGCAGCTGGAAAAATCATTATTTTAAGTAAGGAAAATTTTTTATTTATCTATCAGTCGACGTTTCGAGCTTTCATGCTCATTTTCTCACTCAATCTTCATCGATTATAATTGTTCATAAATATACTATCTTACTTTTAGTTATAAATGATGAAATTTTCTTATGAAGACTTCATCATTTAGAATTATTCAACATAAATCAATTTTTCAAACATTTACATCATCATTTAAATGTCTTGTTCGTTTTGTTTATGTATCATAGCCACTAATTATGAAATTTTATATGCCTTTTACAATGATACATTCGTTGTACACTAAGATTAGTACTAAGTGTATGACTTCATTTTTGATTTTGTTAGTGGAGATGTCATATTTGAAGTCTTGAAGTTCGCTGTTTTCTCTACTAGGGTTAAAACGATAGAATAGTCAAAGTATCTTCTCTCTGACACAATAACATGTTCATTCTTCATATATATTAAGTCATGAATAAACATAAACTACTTTATAGATTCATACGTAAGTTGAAAGAAAAAAAAACATTAGAGAGACATTCTTATTAACAAATAGTACTAAGAGAAGTATATATGCTAATCAAAAGTATTTAGAAAATTTCAATCAAAGTCTTAATTCATTCATTTTGAGTGTTTCCGCTTACTAAGAGAAAAGATAATCAATGTCTAATGACTAATAAATAAACAAAAACGAAAAGATGATTACACTTTAGCCAGATTCTTGAAAGACAAACACTATTTTATCTTCTATGGGATTCAATGATTTCTACATCATCGTTCACTATTCATTGATAAATAGATAAAATCGAATCAAACTGAAATATAAAATTTATTTAGTTTGTAACGTGAAAACACACACAAATAAAGTTATATCTATAAAGGTGAAAAGCATCGTTAGCGCGTGTTGTTCTTAATGTAGAAACAGAAACATAATTCCCGATATTCGTATAAGCAATGTGTAATACTATGAAATTATAATAAATAAATATATATATATAAAGCAACAAAAATCAGATTATTTCAAAATCTTGTTGATGATGGTTGCCCTGTAAGTGTATCAATCTAAAAGAAAATAATATCATAACAAAAAACAAGAGACCGAATTAAATTCCGTTTACTTCTTTCATCACAAGTTTCTTTTTTGTTAAAGCAATATCAGCTTTTTTTGTTTCACGTCGTTGATGATATTCACGTGCTTCTTGATCATAATAATCATTTAATTCTTCAAGACCTCGTACATGTTCTATAAAATAGAACAAAATCGAACAAACAAAAGAATTTTATTGATTCTACCTTGTACAGCTTGTTTTCCTCCCATACGTAAAAATTCGACTAATCGATCACTTTGTTCCTCGATTTCACGACGTTTCATTTTTAGTTGATGAAGTTGATCATGTGTAAGACGATCATGTAATTGTTCAATCTATTTTAATATATGACAAAAACAAGAAATCTTTTGACAAAAATTTTTTTGCCAAATATTTTAACAAACTTGTTGTTGAATAAGTGATGCTTCATAATTAAGTACTTGAACACTTTGTGGACTTGTTGATGTAGATGATGATGCTGGTTCTTGATGTTGATGTTTTCGTCGACGTTGATGATTAGTCAATTCAGATGCATTCGATTGACTATGCAATAATGAAGAAATCAAATATGAGAAAATAGAAAAAAAAAAGAAATAGAAGGCATTCCGGGAAAGTAAAAGACATGCCTGCATGCATGATTATCAAATCAACAAAGAATAGGTTTTTTCATATTCAACATCCTACTGCAATTAAATACCTGCTATCAACAACTTCATCATTATTTCTATTCTCGGCCATATTTATGGCCAACTGACCTAATATGTCGCCTGTAGGTATAAGACGAGCAATAGCAGTAATTGCTGGTGCAGAAGCTGCTGATGATCTGAATTATGTGTTTTAATTTAAAAAAAAATATAATAACAAAAGAAGAAAAAACAATAAATCTACTATTGGATTATTCAAAATAACAATGATAGAACTCACTGAAAAAGGAAAACAGCAGCTTTTATTCGACTTACTTTGATGTTGATGATGATTTTGCGTGTGGAGACTTAAAAAAAAACAAAAATATGAAATATAAATTCGATGAGAAATAATTTAAAATTTACAAATTCTTCAAAACGATCAATAACAAGCCATCGTTGTGGTAATATGTCTGATGCTTTTGTTTGTCCTAATGCTTCTTTGATACGTAATTTAACTTCTAATTTTCCTTCAATCTTTTTCTTATGTTCACTTTCATATAAATCAACAGATTCATGTATTGTACAAGCTTGTTCTAATTCAGCTAATTTGATTGATGCTATACCTAATGGACGATCTGATCGAAGAAAACCGGCTTTATAAAAAACAGCTAATTTCAATTCCTTTCGATTCATTAAACGTCTAAATTTGGCATCATTCCGTTTGATATAAAATTTATGCAATGAATCAGGATATTCAGCATTTACTGAACCAACGGCTAGACGAGTTCGAGCTGTTTGAGGAGTTTCAGTTGGATAAGGAAATTCGATGAATACATAAGTTTCAAGTGATGATGCTGATTGACCTTGTGGAACGGGCAAATTAATACCACGAAGAATATTAACCTTAAAATAATGTTGTTTTTTTTTTTTTAATAATTAATACAATCTTCGTATATCATTTTCAACAATTTTTGAAAAAAAATTAGTAAAAAATTAAGCCTAAGGTCTTTACACATATATATGTTCGTGTTTACAATACGAATAGAAAACTCCTGTGAGATATTTGTTGCGTAAAGTAAAAAACCATTGCTTAAAGTATAAAGGCTTTCTTCAAGCTAAAATAATTGAATATTTTTTAATTGCAATATCTTCTCAAGAATTAACCGAAGAGAAGAATGTGGACGAATGACTGTGGGTATTGATTTTCTCTTCATTGATACTCATACACTTGTCTCTACTAACATTTATCTAGAAAATTAAGTATTTTGTGAAAAATTTATCTGATATTCAAATGTACCTTACTAGGAACTAAGTGCTGAAAAAATAGATTCTTAAGCACTAAAATTCCTAAAAATTCACGTCCTTCTATTCTGGGATGGAGGAACAGGAGTGTCCACAGTTTATTTAATGCAAACACAAAACTAAAACAAACTTGACATTTTCTATTCATTAATATTTACCTCAAGATCATTGTCTCCTAAATCACTATTAACTTGTACAATAGTCATTTGTCTTCTTTCATAATGAAATAATGGTGGTTTTAAACCATGTTGAAAACATTGTCGTAATTTTTCTAAATCATTTGCACAACGTTGTTCAAGAACTTTATATTCATTTGTATATTTGACATTATTTATTCCTTCCATTTGTGAATATATTTGTTGATTACGTGCACATAATTGAATTTGTTTAAGAAGATCTTCTTGTAAACGACGATAAATTGTATCACGATCTGAACGAGCTAAATCTTGTGTTAAATCATCATCATCTATCATATCATTATCATCATCAGGTAATTTAGGTACCTAAAAAATACAACAATAAATAGATTTGATTGAAAAAAAAAATTAATAAATAATTTCCTACTTGACTCATATCAATAGGTAAACCAGATTCAGCTGCTACAATCATTTGGTCAAGTCCTTTATAGGCAACAAGAAATTTTTTAGCTGTTTCAAGATCACCTACAATTACATATTAAAATAAATATTTGTATAGCGGACATGATAAATTTCTGTGCATGTTTTAAATATACTTTACAAGTCAAAGATCAATTACAACAACTAAATTATAGTGCTAGTTACTGATGTTAATATTCATATTTCTCAATGAAGCATTTGCTAATATTTAATAGTACTAAAATAAATTTAGTGTCTTAACATAATTCAAAGAAGCTATTTGCTCAATCCTATGGAATTAAAATGTCAAACACAATGCTGCTGTTGTTTCAAAACATAGGAGGAGTGTTATACTCTATCTATGTATTTTAGGATACATTTTTTTTAGTTAATCCATCAGGAAAAGCAATAAAGAAGTAGCTCATATATTATAATCAGACGATATTGACATATTATCGGTAACGTGTCGTTACTAAGATACTTATATACATCAACATTCCTTTTCGGTTGTGTTTCACAAATCCTAAATTTCATTTTTATATTAAAATAAATTTCTATACCTTTTTGTTTAGCTTGTACAGCAAGTTTTTGAAATTTTTCTTGCTTAAGACGAAGTGTTTGAGCTTGTTGACTTTTTCTTGTACCTGACAAAGTAAAATTAACGAAAAGAACAAGAAGAAAAAATATTGCTAACTAATTGGATTAGTCGATGCTGCTGTAGGTACTGTTCGTTGTTGTTGAGCTTGTGATGATCGAACTTGTGTATTTGATGGTGCTGGTCTAGCTGCTGTAGCAGTTGAAGATGCTGCAACTGGTTGAGGCTTAGATTGTTGAACAGGAATCGGTGCAAAACCAGGTAAATCTGGTAATTCACTATAATTATATGGACGACCCTTTCGTGTAGCATCGATAGCTTCTTCATATTGCTATTGATAAAGAAAAGGAAAATAAATCTTTAGAATGCTATATACCCCACTTATTTTTCATGGATAGTGATGGATTGCACCCTTGCTACACATATTCTATTATTAAGGATACAAATCATCATTAGACTAGCTTCTTTCTGGTGGTAAAAAGAATAGTGGAGAGTACTGCTACTCTATCCGTACCATGGAGAATCTTATCAAATACAGACGAACGAGTTAATCTCTATAGTGTAATATCACATTTATCATCGCTTTTCGATTTTAGACAACAAGAATAAATATCATGTTTTTCATCGTACTTATTTCATTAGACGAAAAACAGTGAATCCTACGTGTCGACAGATGCATATCTATCTAAGTGAGACATAAAAATGAACATGTTTTTTAAAAGACTCTTCTATGTTATGTTTACTTCCGACAACTGGCAGAATGTTTATGAATCCATATTTTAGAGTATGATGTATCAAAAAAGAAAGCAAAGAAATTACTTTTGAAAGTCTTTCCATTCGTCTTGCTTTGGAATTATCTCCACTTCTGGCTGCTTCTTCACCTCGTTTGGTTAACTCTTCATGCCGTTGTTGTAATGCTTCCATGATTGTACGAGGTTCAGGTGCTTTTACTATATTCAAAAATTAATTTTAAATCTCGAAAAAAAAACAAAAAAGATTAGTACGCACAAGGTAAAGCTGGTGGTGGACCATCATCTTCTGGTACATTGTCATATGTTTCTCTATGCATAGAAGAAGAAGAAACCGTAGATATAGCTTTACCTTGTAAAGTCTAAGAATTAATATAAAAAATTAAGAAACATAATAAAATAACTGCTATACCCTCAATTGAATAATATATTCTTTAGCTTTTGCCATATCTCCTTGTTGTTTAGCTTGTAAAGCTAATGATTTAAGTCGTGCAATTTTAGAATCTGAATCTGTAGAAGTAGGTGGTGCTTGTGCTAAAGAATGTTTTTTAATATTTGATTATCGAATAATGAATTGAAAGTAACTTACGTTGAAATACAGCTGGATTATTATTATTATTAGTTCGAATTGATGCTTGAGTTGGTGGTTGTGGTAAAGGTACAGCACGTGAACGTGGTGCAGCTGGTTGTTGTGGAGGAGAAGGAGCTCGCACAGATGTTTGTTGTGGTACAGATGCAGATTGAGAAGCAATAAAAACTTCAGGTGGAATTTCACTTTCATTAACTGGTGCACCAGCACGAGCCGATTGAAGTAATTCTTGAATAGTCTAAATACAAAAATTATAACTCTATTCAATCGAATATGGAATTATGTACTTTAAGTTGTCGATCTAAACGTCGAGATTTTGCAGCATCACCACTTGCTTTTGCTGCTGCTAAAGCTTTAGCATACATTGATTGACGTTCTTCGAGTACAGACACTATATTACCACTGGATTTTGCTTGTGGTTGTTTTATTTGATCATTTCTTTCAGTCTCGATTTCATCTGTAATTTCATTCAATTCGGCCTATTAAAACTAATTTTTATACGAGAATATTTAATCAATAAACAACTCACAAGAAGTTCGTCGTCATCAACATCAGATAATTCATCATCATTGATAGGTCGATCAATATCACGAAGAAGTTTATTTACATCGTTATGAAATAATTGAAGATCTTGTGCCATTCCACCTGTATGTATAGAAAATATCATTGATTACTCAACTATAAATTATTTTTTATTTTTTCAAATAACACACCTAACTTTCGTTGATCAGATTTTGAACCTCTCGATCTTTGATTGCCATCTTCACTGCCTTGTTGTAATCTTCGTAATTCGGCTTCAAGATCATCATCATCATCACCCATACCTGATTCATCGAAATTTGGTATTTGAAAACCCATCTATACGACAAAATGAGATTTATTAAAAAATAATTCAGCAAAATAAGTAAGAAACCTGTTGCATGAGAGCTGCTCCACCTCCAGATTTTCTTGCTGGTTTGCTAACTTTACTACTTTTCGACATTCTCGTAACAGAATATAAGTAAAAATGAATAAATCAATCAATGAATAATATTAATGTACGTCTGAGTCATTTTTTCGGATTGGTTTATATAGTATAAAAAATTATCAGTAGATGTCTATAGTTGCCGAGGAACTATTATGAAAGAAAATTGCAGATGACTTTCTATCACTAAAGAAATATTTACTTTGAAACAAACGGGTGGTCCAGATTAAACTGCCGGTTTTTGTGGACTACGTTTGAATTTATCGTCTAGCCTTATTTAAAAAAAACAAAGTATAGCATCGGATAGAGCAAACAGAGCTCCATATTTTTGTATAAGAAACTAAATTGACAGATGCTCTTTTGAAATTGGAAATTTCGAAAACTTCAGATGATTGAAAAGTAGCATTAGTCACTGACCTACTGCTAGTATCCATCTCAAACAAGAAAATGTGTAAGTATTTTTAGAATAGCTTTTGATAGAAACTAGATAGAGATCTGCTGTTTTCACCGTATAAAAGACAAGATGAAGCTGTATCGAATCGTGTATATCAGATTTTTCTAGCAAGTTCTCTCGGAGTTTACTATCAAGTTTGTTAAAAGCAGAATATTATTTCATATAAAAGTTTTATGATCTCAATTTTTAAAAGTGTACTAGAATCATTAACGGAAGATCGATAAACTAAGTAGGTTTGATGTTGTAAGCTTCAGCTCATTATGAATTGTACCCATTTCACTACATGTTATCGGCAAATTTTTCATAAAAAATTGACTGTTTTTCTCATTTTTAACGAAAAACGCATCCTGAAAAACCTATACAAAAGTCGGGATTTTTTAGAAAATTTCGCGAGAGACTACGAGTAAACTTGCTAGAAAAATTCAGTATACACGATTCTCTACGGTGAAAACAGCAGATCTCTATCTAGTTTCTATCAAAGGCTATTCTAAAAATACTCACACATTTTCTTGTTTGAGATGAATACTAGTAGGTCGGCGACCAATGTTACTTTTCAATCATCTCAAGTTTTCGAAATTTCCAATTTCAAAAGAGCATCTGTCAATTTAGTTTCCTATATAGAAATATGGAGCTCTGTTTGCTGTATCCGATGCTGTACTTTGTTTTTATATAAGATTAGACGATTAATTAAAACGTAGTCCACAAAAACCAGCAGTTTAATTTGAACCACCAGTTACTTTGACACTTATAATGTGTGTAAGGACGTAGGTCTGCATCTTCTCTTCATCAACACACACTCTCTATACTAGTTTTCTCCAAGTTGCTATGAGAGAGTTATTATAACTTCTGCCTGTGTATTGACTTATTTTTATATCGTGAATTATCAGTGATCGTACACATCAACGAATTGCCATGCAACAACTTTAATTTCTAATGTTTGCTCACATCACATCACATCCAATTCATTTCAAACCGTTGCTTATTCAATGTATGTGTCATATTATTTTCAAGTCAGCGTCAACTTTTCATAGTCATCTATATTAATATCTATGAATAGAGAACAGCTATACGAAGTCAGATCTATCTGTTTCAGTGGAGAACCATCATTGTTGTGAAATATCTACTCAATGAGAGATATTTATTTATGATGCCAGCATCCATTGTGTTGGGCAGAGTTATATAAAACAGAAATCGTATGCAAGCGATTGTTGCCATAGAACTAGGTCGTTATTAACGCTAGAATTCAGCAAGATTGGTAGCCAAACGGATAGAAATAGACCGTTTAACTGGAGACATATGATCAGTCGAATGGTCCAAGAAAGAGGATGATTTAGAAAAGAAAAAAATCGTTCGATGAACGATTCGAATTACGTAATAGAGAGTATTTTCCAGTAGAAACATATTTTTCGATCTCGGACTCTTAGTCATCAATATTTTATCATTCTTCGCATTTACATTTCTTCATCGTGACATCGCGTGATTCTCGATAACTTTCTACTCAGTTTTTCGTTGCTTATCGTTTCAATTGATGTCATCCACTTCTTTCTCTTCCTTAGCGTCACACTAGTTCGAGCATAGGTGAAACGGTAAGTAGTTCGAAAGATGATAAATAAAAGATAACGTCACATGCCTCAGTGAAATGAAAGAACCACAAAAAAACCGACATACGTGATTAATTGCTGAGAAGATATAGTGAAGTATGCGACCTATTTAAAGAGCAATCAACAGCATACTTCACATTATCTATTCATCGCATTTGTAAACAGCAAAGGACAGGATTAACTCATTAGTGAATACAAGAAATTGCTGTAATCTAATACTTTTTTGTCATTAAATCAAACAACGATGACTATCAAGACTTACTTTGTCGATCACACTAATAATCGTCGATATCCTCTCAATGGTGTTATTTCATCGGGCAATCAAACGACCGAACCAGCTGCCGATAAATCATTTCGCAATCATATCATTGCAGTTATAACATCTGTTGAAAATCAATAGTCTGCAAATAGTTGGTATGAATCAAATTTTCTTGATTAATCGAATAATCACTGCTTTTTTTCCCTTCTATTTAGCGTGGCGAATTTTCTTGCTGGTAAACAATTTGAAGTCTAAAACAGAAAATAGTTTTTCTCTTATATTCTTCTCTAGGAGCGTATGAATATTTGCTTCACAAAGCGACCAGTACACAAATCGATGTTTCTCGTCTATTCATGTATTATAATGCTTGATATCGAGATAATCCATAGGGTGAAATTACGGATAGTGGTTGTATGATTGATCAGGCCATCGCAGCATTATCCGAATATGGTGAGTGAATTGCAACTTTTTGGTACGATTGGCGAAAAAAATAAAAGTAAACCTAACCAACTTTTCATTAGTGTATTTTATTGTACTCTATGCCTGTATTATACAGTAAAAATTTCCCGACACTTTATCGATTATTAACGGAGATATGGATTTTTCAAGTGAGCAATTTTTATGATCGACCTTATTTTCTGAAGGTTAAGATTTTACAGCAATTAGTATGCATTCTGGCAGCACTAAAACTACTTATCTAAAGTCTTACGCTGTACTTAGATCCGTAAATACTGCTATAAAAAATTCAAAAACCTTAATATTTCAACTAAAACTATGCATGAATTTGTAACATTTTCGAAAAAAACGACCAGGGTCAGTTTCTGCTATATTAGAGATATTTTCAACCCCAATAACTTGTCTGACAATATGGATGCAATAACTTTCCGGAGTGAAACACATCGATTAGTGCAGAAAACTACTCATTTTGACCTACTTTTACTTGAAATATCACGTGAAAAAGGTCCTTCTACATTTTCCAAAAAAAAGAGTCCTTCTACATTTCATTGTATATTGTAAATATTTCGAGAACCATGAGAGACAGACGGCTGAAATTTGAACTATTTATGTAACTTTTAGAACTATACCTACGCTAAAAATTTTAGCAAAAACAGATTAGTTATTCAAAAGTTATTAGCGATGAAAGTTGCAAAAAGTCTTTCTACAAAGTGAGTAAAATTCAATTTTTTAAAAAAAGATCGGTGTTTTTCAATAAAAAAAAAAAAGTCGTTAAGAAAAAGTTATTTTATCAATTTGTTTTCCGATCAACTGACTTTCTTTTGAATACGTTCGGATTCATTCAACTTGTAGGCAAATGGAGAAAATCGAAAAATAAGGTCCTTCTACACAAAAATGACAAAGTGTCTGTAACTAAGTATTCGAGGTGAATGAGTGTGAAAAGAAAAGAAAAACAATACAAAAGATATATTATTTGATAGAGCATCTCAAGCTGTACAAAATGGACTATTCATGATATTTTTTCTCTTTTCTTTTATACTTAGAATATATCACTTTCCTAGTACAGCTAGATGTAAAATACGATTTTTCGACAGTGTAGGCCTCATAATTCAGCGATCATAGGAGCTAGAGAGCTCAAATTTTGTGTGGCAGTGGGACACTCAAAGACCAACAACATATAAAAACTTGGTGGAAATCGATTGAGCAGAACAAAAGTTATTGGTGAAATACAGCTAAAATCTCAATCGTACCAAAAAGTTGCAATTCACTCATATATATGTGTATAGTACTAAGT